GAATGTGGGATCTTATCCGAAGAAGCAGCGACACCAGAGATGGAGGCAAAGATGGGGACATGAAGAGAGGAACATCTGAGGACTCTAGACTCATGGAAAGAGAGGGACTGAGTGCTGGCGTCCAGGAGGCAGGCTTGCAGAATGTGCCCTTTGGTTGTTTAAATAATTATATATTCCTGAGTATTTTTGTGTACATGTCTCCCACCACCCCACCCCCCAAAGAAAAAAACAAACCCAGAAAACAGAGGGAATGGAAGCAAATACTGTTGAATGACACAGAGGAAATTGTAATCATTGCAATGAAACAATGGTGTAAGGCTGATGTTCACCCATGTAAACTATCACTCAGTTCACAATTAAAAAAAAAGAAAAGAGAGAAACACCAGTGAGGTCCTAGCAAAGTACCTGGAAAGCTTCATCAATGAGGACAACTACATTAACACAAACAAAGGTGCACATCCACATACAATCATAAAGAATGAGACCAGTCTTGTGCCGACTGCCTTACGTACACAGGTGTCTTTGTTATCTTATGCTGCTATTACAGAAATTCCCCAAGTGGGTGGCTTAAACAACCCGAAATTTATTCCCTCACAGTTTAGAGGGCGAAGTCCAAATTCAGAGTGCTGGCTCTTAGGGGAGACTGTCTCTCTGTTAGCTGTGAGGACAGGTTCTTATCTCCTTTCAACATCTGTTGGCCCAGCATTCCTTGGAGATCTCTATACATCTTGGCATCAGTCTTCCCCTGGATCTAGGAGCTTCATGATGCAAGGACACCAGGTCTAAAGTAAGCACTTGACTCCTGGCTTGTCTGTTTTGGTGGTAATGTTGTTGTTGTTAGGTGCCATCTAGTCGGTACTGACTCATAGTGACCTTCTGCACAGCAGAACGAAACACTGCCCGATCCTGGGACAACCTCACTACTGTTGCCACGCTTGAGTCCATCAGTGCTGCCACTTGACCAATCCATCTCGTTGGAGGTCTTCCTCTTTTTCTCTGACCCTCCACTTTACCAAACATGATATCCTTCTCCAGCGACTGGTCCCTCCTGACAATATGTCCGAAGTATGAGAGACAAAGTTTGGTCATCTTGGCCTCCAAGGAGCACTCTGGCTGCACTTCTTCCAACACAGATCTGTTGGTTCTTTTAGGAGCCCATGGCACTTTCAATATTCTCCTCTAACACCATAACTCAAAGGCATCAATTCTTCTGTGGTCTTCCTTATTTCTTCTGTGGTCTTCCTTATATTATTTTGTGGTCTTCTGTCCAGCTTTCACATGCATATGAGGTTATTTAAAATACCATGGCTTGGGTCAGGCACACCTTAGTCCTCAAGCTGAAATCTTTGCTCTTCAACACATTTTAAAAAGGTCTTGTGCAACAGATTTGCCTAATGCAATATGTCGTTTGATTTCTTGACTGCTGCTTCTGTGACTGTTGATAGTTGATCCAAGAAGAATGAAGTCCTTGGCAACCTCAATCTTTTCTCTGTTGATAAGAATGTTGTTTATTGGTCCAGTGGTGAGGATTTTTGTTTTCTTGACATTGAGATGCAATCCATACTGAAGGCTGTGCTCTTTGATCTTCATCAGTAAATATTTTAAGTCCTCTTCACTGTCAGCAAGCAAGGTTGTATCATTTGCATATCGCAGGTTGTTAATGAGTTTTCCTCTAATCCTGATGCCATGTTTTTCTTCATATAACCCAACTTCTCCAATTATTTGCTCAGCATACAGGTTGAATAAGTATGGTGAAAGAATACGACCTTGTCGCACACCTTTCTTAATTTTAAACCACCCAGTGTTCCCATGTTCTGTTCAAACAGCTGCCTCTTGGTCCGTGTTCAGGTTCTTATGAGCACAATTAAGTGTTCAGGAATACTCATACTTTGCAATGTTGTCCATAGCTTGTCATGATCCACACAATCAAAAGCCTTTGCATAGTCAAAAAAGCACAGGTAAACATCTTTCTGATATTCTCTGTTTTCAGCCAAGATTCATTAGACATCAGCGATGATATCCTTCATTCCACAGCAGTAAGCAAATCTGCAAGAGACCTCTTTAATGTGTTCAAGAGCAAAGGTGTCAGTTTAAGGACTAAGATGCACCTGACTCAAGCCATGGTATTTTCATTTGCCTCATATGCATTTGAAAGTTGGACAATGAATAAGACTATAGAAGAATCTATGCAGTTGAATTATGGTGTGGGAAAGAATATTAAAAGTACCATGGACTGCCAGAAGAACCCACCCATAGGTGCCTCAGAATATAGGCCTTGTGACGTGCCTCTAAAAGGCCTTGTGACCCCTATGGAATGGTTCTACTCTGTACATGTGGGGACACCATGAGTTGGGATCAACTTATTGGTAACTATCAGCATCATCAATTAGCTGATAGAACATGCAGATGAAGTGAGACACAGAAAAGGCCCAGTGATGTCAAGTAGACACATGGTTTCACATGATATATGTAACTCAAAAACTCTTAGTTTAATTTTTCAAACAAGCTAATGATCTCACTATTTAACTATAGCACAAAAGATTAATATTACACATATGATGTGGTGGTAAGTGCCATTGGAAAGAGTATAGCCAGAATGCTCCTTTAGAAATCCAGATGGCAAGACTTTGTCTCTCATCCTTTAGATATATTAGCAGAAGAGAGAAGGATATCAAGCTTGCTAAAGTGTAGGGTCAGTGAAAATCTCTCAAGGAGGTAGATTTACACAGTGGTAGCAACAATGGGCTCAATGTAATCATTGTGAGACTAGCACAAGACCTGGCAGTGTCTAGTTCTTTTGTACGTAGGAACCCTATGAATTGGAACTGACTCAATGGCACCTAATAACAAACAACAACCTGTTTATTCTCAATGTATCTATCCATAGCTTTATTTCTTATCAATACTTTCTCTTTTATTTCTGTAAATAAAAAATAACCTTCCAAAATTTGATTGTACAAATGATCTCAGTTCCAGATGTGGTTCACTTGTAGAGGTGCTTGATGAATTTGTTTTAATAAAGGGCCAGTTCTTTATAGGGTTAAAGAAAATCTGAGAACTTAGTGTGTGTCATATTTACTGTAGCATATTAAAATGGTACTTAAAGTAGAACTTTTTCCATCTGTTCAACAACAACAAAAAGTTGAAGTTAGTAGTATCCAAGGGATGAATGATGGTGGTGGTGGTTATGTGCCATGGCGTCGGTTCTGACTCATAGCGACCCTGTACAGGGTTTCTCATGCTGTAAATCTTTACGGGAGCAGAAAGCCTCATCTTTTTCCTGTGGAACAGCTGGTAGTTTCAAACTGCTGACCTTAAGGTTTACAGCCCGATTTGTAACTACTACGCTACCAGAGCTTCTTCAGGGATGAATAGTGAGTTGTATTTCTCACTGTAAAAAAATTAGAATTATTGGGAAGAGATATTTCTCTTCAACAGATGGTGCTGGCAGAATTGGACAGCAATATGCAAAAGATTGAAACAACTTTACCTCACACCTTATACAAAAACCAACTCAGCATGGATTAAAGACCTAAATGTGCATCCCAGAAATATAAAGGCCATCAATGGAAAAAAAAAAAAAAAAAAAGGACAATTTGAGGGCTCTGTATTATACAGGGCACATACAGACTACCAAACATTGTGAAAACTGCACAAACAAAAGACAAAAATAGATGATTGGAACATACTAAAAATTTAAAACTTATGTGCATCAAAAGACTTCATCAAAATAGTGAAAAGGGAGCCCACCGAATGGGAAAACATCTTGTCCAACAATGCATCAGACAAGGGACTCATTTCTAAAATATATAGGAAACTACAACACCTCTACAAGAAAAAGACAAATAACCCAATTAAAAAATGGGCACTGGACATGAACAGACACTTCACCAAGGAAGAGATCCGGGCAGCCAACAAACATGAAGAAATGTTCATGATCACTAGCCATTGTTGTTGTTATGTGCCATCGAGTCGATTCCAACCCATAGCGACCCTGTATCAGGTTTCCAAGGAGCAGCTGGTGAGCTTGAATCACCAACCTTGCAGTTCAAATGACTTTGCAGTCTGAAGCATTAGTTCACAGCCATTAGAGAACTGCATATGAAGAAAACAATGAGATATCATCTCACACCAGCAATAACAAGTTCAAGAAAGTAGAGGACAATAAATGCTGGCAAAGATGTGGAGACACTGGGAACCTCCTACATTACTGGTGGGATTGCAAAATGGTCCAACCACTATGGAAAACAGTATGGCGCTTCCTCAGAATGTTGGAAATAGAAATACCTTACGATCCAGCAAGTCCTCTACTTGGTATTTACCCACAAGAAATACTAACCATAACATGAGTAGATATATGCATACCAATGTACATAGTAGCACTATTCACAATAGCAAAAAGATGGAGACAACCTAAGTGCCCATCAATGGAAGAATGGACTTTGGTTCATCCACACAATGGAATATTATGCTACCTTAAAGAATAACAAGGAAGCTGCAAGCCACTGTATAACATGGATAAACCTTGAGGACATTATGCTGAGTGAAATTAGTCACAAAAGGAGAAATATTGCATAGGACCATTATTGTAAAATTAAGAAAAAGAACCCACCCTAAAAGAGTGAGAAAAAAAATTCTTTGCTGGTTACCGGGATGTATGGGGTGGGGTGCGGAGATGGAGGGGAAGGTGGAGCACAAGGTAGGGAATAGACACAGGATAGCTTGGGTGCTGGGGGGAGCACAATACATAAGAAGCGGGAGGGGAATGGAAGAACAAGGCAGATGGGAGAACAATTCAGCAGGTTTGCATGGGCTAAATGGAACAGAGGAAGTAATGTATGCTCAACCTTTTAAAAAAATTTAAAAAATTAAAAGTTTAGAATTATATAAAATAGATTTACTGCTGTTGTACACAGAAATCACAAATATGTGAATATTTAAGATTCTTTTCTCTGCTTTTGAAAAATGTGTAATGATGTTTTGCTCTCTTTTTAAAAAAGTAACTGTGTTGGTATGGATTGGGACAAAGATGGAGATACCCTAGCAGTGATTGCTGAGAAATCTAGTTGTATTTATCTATGGGATGCCAACACAAATAAAACCAGCCAGCTAGACAGTGGCATGAGGTAAGGATACCTTTTTAAAGTTTTAAAAATCATTGCTTATAAACATAATTACTTTTTGTGCTAACATTTATGCTAACAACTTGCTACTTTCAAAGGTACATTGGTAGCAGCAGATATATTTACAACTATAAAAAGAAAACATCAAGACTCCCTGCTGAGGTTGCTTATGTATAACCAAGCACTTCATGGAATTTGATTTATTCATTTGGAGATTTAGGACCATGGATTCATTGGACTCCAAGTAGCTGACCTAACTTTGTATTTAATGTTTTTATTCTACTTCCTAGTTTGTTGCATAGCACCTGGGGTCTTAAAAAGGCACAAGTGGCTATCCAAGGCACAACCAACCATTGGTCTCTATTAACCTGAAACAAAAGAGAAAGGAGAGTCAGGAATAGGAGGAGGGTATGGAATGTGTAGTCAGTTGCTTTATGAACAGCTGTCTCCTTTGCCATGAGACCAAAAGAACTGGATGGTACCCGGCTACCATTGCTGAACTATTCGATCAAAGATTCCATACAGGAATCCTGATCAAAAGGAGGAAAATGCAGAATAGAATTTCAAATTCTCATGGGCTTTAGACTTTCTGGAGCCATGAAGGATGGGTGAACCCCTGAGATTATTACCCCAAGATCATCTGAAAACCTTAAACCAAAAATATTCCCTGAAGTCTTCTTAAAACAATAGTTTCACTTAACTAGCAAAGCAGGTCTACTGAGCATTACATCCTTTTAAAAACTATCTGTGTGGATCAAATTGACAAGAGCAGCTTGAAAGATAGGAACTTGAGGCGACAGTGAGTTATGTTCATGTGAGAGGACTAACTCAAAACAGGAGGACGAGAATGGTTGTACAGCATGAAAAATGTCACTAAATTGTTCACATAAAAATGGTTAAATTGTTGTGTATATTAACAAGAACAAAATTTGAAGGAAAAAGAGATACTTGGTAAGTTATTATATAAAAGAAATGTTTTTTAGTTGTTCTATACAATTGTTTTACTAAACTACCTTATTAGAATAAATTTATTACAATTGTGAAATATAAGTCATTTCTAAAATTTTTTAAAAGTTCCTTTCAAAGGTGCAACTAGATTGTCCAAAGGGGAAGCAAAATATATATGTAGGAAATGAAGAGATAGGATAGCTGAGACATGGCTGGATCTAAGGGCTCTTGGTCAGTTAGAGTCATCATGGTAGAGATATGAGAGGTACCTTGTCATGGTTGCCATGCCTGTTTAAACAGATAAACAATGTCTACCATTTGTACTTATTCAAAACAACCTGGTATATTAATTCTCTGCTGCTTACCAGAATTAAGGTTTAATTAAACAGTTTCATATATTCACCTTTAATTACAACTCGCTTTTTAATATACTTTATATATTAATTTTTCTTTTCAAATATCATCATGGCTTTAGGGCCTTTAACAAACTCAACTTATGTTAATTAAATATATTATTTTCAATGCTCAACTTCTCCTTTAACTTAGCCAGAAGAAGCCCCTTAAGGAAATTGTTTTGTCCTTTTACCACTGACCTCAATGTTCTTGACTGCAGCCCTGTTGCCTGAAGACAGTAGCACCGGCTACCAGTGTTCTCCTAGTATAGCTGCATCGTAGTCGCCCGGAAAGCGTATATTCAAACAATGGCTGGGGCTCCCCTTCAGAGTTTCTGATTCACTGGGTCTGGGTGGACTTAAGAATTGGCATTCCTAACGAGTCCCAGGTGATGCTTATGCTGTTGGTCCTGGCATCACATTTTGAGATCCCAGGTTTTTGAGCCATTGTAATTTCTTTTTCCAACATGTGGACTGAGCTACATACCAGGGAGTCTTGTTTCCCTTTGGTAGGGAACCATAACTCAAACTGACTCCTAGAATGCACATAGGACTTGATGGTGACAGAAGAGCCTTCTACCTGCTTTTGGACTACGTTTAACAGTGATAGGGTTGGAAGAGACAGGTCTTTTCTAAAGTCATGGATTCCTAATTATATTTCCCATATAATATCTCATGTATTGGACCCTACACTTTTTAGAGCATGAGATTACATTATCCATTGAAATTTTAACCAAATTTTGAGCTGCAATTACTATTATGTTGCTGTTGTTAAATGCCCCTGATTTATAGTGACCCTAAACACAACCAAACAAAACACTGTTCTGTCCTACACCATCCTCATAATTGTGATATTATTTGTTGTTGTTATGTGCCATGGAGTCGTTTCCGACTCATAGCGACCCTGCATAGGGTTTCCGAGGCTGTAAATCTTTACGGGAGCAGAAAGCCTCATCTTTCTCCCGCGGAACAGCTGGTAGTTTCGAACTGCTGACCTTGCGGCTCACAGCCCGATTCGTAACCACTACGCTACCAGAGCTCCATTGTGCTATTATTAGTGTACAACTAACTAGCTACATACCAAGAGGCATCCTGAGTGGTAGAGATGGTAAACACACTTGGCTGCCAACTGAAAGGTTGAAGGTTTGAGTCCACCAGAGGTGCCTTCTGAGAAAGCAGCCACCGAAAAGCCTGTGGAGCACATACCTGGAGATGCCACGAGTTGGAATGGACTCGAGGGCAGCTGGGATTTTTTTTTTTTATATCAAGGGTAATCTCATGAAATCTGACATTCTATTCTAACTAAATTAAAGTTTTATACTCATTAAATATTTGTCTTGTAAATCTGACCTTCCACTGCCTTCAGGTTGATTTCCACTCAGCAGCCCTTTATAGGATTGCAGAGTCTGTAAATCTTTACTGGAGCAGAAAGCCTATCTTTCTCCTATGGAGCGGCTGGTGGGTTTGAACTGCTGACCTTGTGGTTACCAGTCTACTGCATATCCTACAGCTCCACCCGGACTCCTTTAAGAGCATTACGTAGCTTCTCCAAAATGTCTTTAGCTCATAGTCTTTGTCCTAAAGCATAAAGTTGTAATTTTGTTTGGTTTCTAAGTAGATGTTCAAATTATCCATCAAGTACGTTTTAAAAGGACTATTTAGAAGTTATGATTATTATCTAGTAATTTACATCTTACTCTTACAGGGATCAAATGTCTTTCCTTCTTTGGTCAAAAGTCGGAAGTTTCTTGGCTGTTGGAACTGTTAAAGGAAATTTGCTTATTTATAATCGTCAGACATCTCGAAAGATTCCTGTCCTTGGTAGGTTATAGCTGGAAACATTGCTAATGATGCTTTACGCAAAAGTGGTTTTTACTGCCTCAAAATTCCCTGATTTGCAAGGCAAATTTTGTGCTACAGAGCCTCCTGGCCCAGTGTTACATCTGGCTAAATTTCCCTGGTACCTAGAGTAGGTGACTCTAAGGTTAGTTTATGCCTTTTGATGCCAGTACACTAATGGCGTTGCTTCTATCCGTTCATTTCTCACCCAGATGGTACTTCTGGCCACAGAATAGTTCTTGTGAATAACAGCACATTAGTAGGTGGGTTAAAGCCTGTAGGGACTGCTTGGATAGGGTACAGCTGGTTGCCTAAATCTAACCCTCATGCTCTTCAAACACCAAATTCATCAAGGTGTGGAATAGGAGTTATATCCCCCTCAGGGTATGCATGGAGGCTGGCTGGGTTCTGTTCCTCCTTTGACTGTCTTGGTTCAGTCTGTTTGATTTCCCCAACCTCTGGTCATTTGCCATCTACCCATTAAATACACAAGAAGAAACAGTAGTGATTCTTTTGGTTATTGTAATAATCCTGCTGGTGAATGGTGGAGCTAGTGGATTTAATTACATTCAGGAGATCAAAAATAACATAACTTACTGCTTACCAGGGGATTAACTCTTGTGATAATGGCACCTGAGAGTGTTTGAGAATTGCCTTTCCACTAAGGAACGTGTATTTGTTTCAAATCAATGTCACATATATATGTCCTGGTGTGGCACTGTGTGTTAATGTGCTAGACTACAAAGTTGGTTTGAACTGCAAGGTTGCTGGTTCAAGCTCACCAGCTGCTCCTTGGAAACCCTGTACAGGGTCGCTATGGGTCAGAACCGTCTCAACGACACTTACCCATTGCACCACATGTTTAGTATTAATCTTTTGTGCTATAGTTAAGTAATAAGATCATTAGCATGTTTGAAAATTTTAAGAATTTTTGAGTTACAAAAATCACCTTTTCGCCATGAGAAATAATGGGTCTACTTGACATCACTGGGCCTTTTCTGTGTCTCACTTCATCTGCATGTTCTATCAGCTAATTGATGATGTTGATAGTTGCCATTGAGTTGATCCAACTCCTCGTGTCCCCACATGTACAGAGTAGAACCATTCCATAGGGGTCACAAGGCCTTTTAGAGGCACGTCACAAGGCCTATATTCTGAGGCACCTATGGGTGGGTTTGAACCAACAGCTTTTTGTTTTTTAATGTTTTATTGTGAATTATATGATAGTTTACATG